TACACGCACTTGACAGCATCCCTTTTTCGCTTAACTCGTTTTGGGCACGCAACCATACCAGCTCGCGAAAGTAACGACGTCACAGACTTAATAACTCTGAAAACTCATTAGCTAAAGGCTCTCGAAGATTTCATCAAACATGAAGTAACTGCGAAACAAACCTGTCCAGTTGTTCCTTTTCCACGAGATCCCATTTTGTTATTATTACGAAAACAGGAATATTGAGAGCTGCAGCAAGACCAAGATGTTCTTTCGTGGTGGAGGTTGGTCCAATTTCAGCAGAGACTAATCTACAAAGAAATGGTCTCATTGATTCTATGCCTGAGCGCTAAGCATTCAGCCGTACAAAAGGAACATACAGGCAGGCGAAGTGAGGTTTGTAGCCAGTCAATCCATGTATGGTGGTTTTCAGATACTTCGAATCACCAGCCAGATCGATTAGTGTAACTATTTTCTTGGACCGCTCCACTAATTCTTCAAGGCTATTTTGAGCATAATTGACAAGCTAAAAATAAAATGAAATTAAATATTGCCCCAGCGTCATTAACAGTGGACGCACCTTTCCCCGCGAATCGAATCCAATGACGTCCAAACACACTGAGCTAGTTTTTCCACTACGGACCTCATGTGGAAACCTGTAAAAGTAGTGTTTTGAACAAGATACTGAACAAAGCTAATTTCACTGCTCCCAAATGCCCCTTTCACAAACCTGAAAAGGTTAAGCCTGGTCTTCCCATTGCCATCATCGAGGCAACCTTGAGTCATCACACCGCAGAATGTAGATTTTCCAACGTCCGCGCCACCAAGTACGGCTAACCTAAAGCGAAAATAGATGATCTGGCACACTCACAAATTGATGAAGAGCGATTTAATTGAGGACTGAAATATGTGGAAAACGTAAACACAATTCAAATTCAGATGTGGACTATGACATTTTGATTGGCGAAAATCACCAACGGTTGAATAGAAAACCAGCTTCAACCTACGATCCAATATTCCCGCACACCCCCATTGAACCATACGATTTTCACAATCAAGCTAATGAAAAAATAATAAGAATTATTTCGACAGTGTTAGAAAGCACTAGTAATTCTTGCATAAAGCAGAATCCGTATATTAACCTGCCATCGATGAAGAAACCAATTCCAAGTCTCTAACAAGGGGGTCTTTCAGGACATGGAGCGCTTTTTTTTTTGGTTTTCTGCATGTTGTAGGGGCTCATGCGAGGAACACAGAACCATGATCCATTTTTCCTGAACGCCTCCAGGAATGTCAAAACAGTGGTGAAGAAATGGTCCAGAGTTCGATCCCCGGTGATGACTAATTTTGCAATATAGTTTGCCCCAGATTGCCGCCAAATGGCGCCATCGTCGAGAATAGATGTCATTGTCGTGTTTTGCGGCAATTTGGAAGGCGCCAACATGAATTGCAAAAATTTGTCATCACAGTGACATTTCTAGGGGCGTTCAGGAAAAATGGACCATGGTTCTGTGTTCCTCACATGAGCCTCTACAACATTCAGAAAACCATTTGAAAAAAAAACGTTCCATGTCCTAAGAGACCTCCCCCCCCTGTAAGTAGCTAGAAAAGCATTTCTACTCAAAAAAAAAACTTAAATGAGTTTACTAGCCCCTTCCCCAAATTATTATCTACCGAACTCGCGGCGTAAACTAAATAAATGACTGTTTTGGTTGTCTGAACGGCATAATTCCCGTTATTCCCAAAGCGTGAGCAATCTCATAATTCTACCTCAACTCGATGAACTGCTGACTCTCGGGAACCTTGCGTACGAGAACTTCGACCACTCGGCGACGTGAACAGCTGCCTCGAGGAGTCACATCCTTCTCTGTTAGCTGGAAAAGGGCTCTGTTTCGAATTCGGCAACTCTTGCAATTGGAAAAATATGTGAGATAGTAAAAGCGACAAACTTACTATGACCATGCTAGCATCAAGAGCATTCGCCATGGCTTTCAAAGTGATCAGCGATGCTTCCATTTCTACGTCTGACAACCCACTCATTTTGCCACCATCCTCAACACCGACCTAAACAGACATCCGCTACCGATTCACAATAAACCACACCAGAAAACCGCTGACTGTATTAACATGAAAAGCCACACCTCATAGATTGCCTCGCCTTGACCTTCTCTGAGCCGCCACTTCATTTGCGTGATCAAATGCTGTAGACGTGACGACGACGGGTTCACAAGTTTCACCTATAAAGATCAATAAACAAGAGACACAACAGAGACCTGAAAAAAAGGAAATTACCTTATATTCTATGTTGCCAAGTTCCATTTCGGGAGGTAAGCAATTCTCAGCCTCCGAGATCCGTTTGTCAGTATGCAGCAAA